CACACACACACACACACACACACACACACATGCACACACAAACACACACACTCTCCCATCTCTCTCAGTTGTTAGCCAATCAGTCGATCTTCATTCAACAAGATTTTCCAAAGTTACATGCACGGTAGCCTAGTAACATGCCAGACCCGATTTGCATGTTTCTCTATTGTTACATTGAATGCCTTGCCCCATGTCGAAAGACTGGTACGCTGTATCAAGTCATCATCTTTGCCTTTCTCACCCTGGGTCAGGGTATAGGCCACCAACAAACACGTTGCAGCACCTTTCCATATCCTGGGCTAGCCTCTTGATGTTATTCCACGTCTTTCCACTTTTCTATACATACATCAATTATTAATTATTCTGTGACTCTTCTCCATGTTCCACCAAGGAGTCTTCCCCTTGATCTTTTACCCTGTGGATTCCAATCCAACACTCTCTTTTCTTTAATGCAGCTGTCTGACTTCCTGAGAGTACGTCCAATCCAATACCACCGCTTTCTTCCCGCACCAAGTGCAGTGACAAATAATTAATTTTTTTGGAAAAAGTACTTTCCGTTTAAAATGATTCCTGTCCTCAGCTTTCGGCAATCTTTAATACCCGGAAGATATTTGTGCAAATCTCGTGTTTTCCATCGTAAATTTTAGTTAGCTGTCTACTGTTTGTTCAAATGTAACTTTCCAATTTTACGCTATGTACCTCAGAGAGTGCATCTTGATTTGGCAGGCTCGAGATGTATAAATCAATGAACTATATAATATATTATATTGTATATCATGCCGTTACGTAGAAAACTTTTAGACTTAAAAAAATAATAATAAAGTGCTACCCACCCCAACCCCACTGCACGCAGATCTAGATATATCATATAAATATGCTCTCTCTCTCTCTCTCTCTTTTTTTTTTTATTTCGAGGAAAGTCGATAATGGATTTTGAGTCATCATAAAATTTAAGTGATTCCAATATAATAAATTTTCCATTTTTTGGTCGAATAGGTTTAATTTCAGCGATATGTAGTTTCCGGAGAGAGAGAGAGAGAGAGAGAGAGAGAGAGAGAGAGAGAGAGAGAGAGAGAGAGAGAGAGAGAGAGTGTGTTCAGTAAATAAATGTTCTAGGAA